TGTGTTCATGCTGAATTTAAATCATGACAGTTTGATCTGATTTAAATTTTTTTTAGAAATCAAAATCTCTCCTTTTTGATTTACTGTCGTTTTTTTTTTCTTTCATAATTGTGCTGCGCTAAAAGGTTAGTGCACCCAAACACGGGTAGCCCTCACGCGGAGCAGTGCCACCTCCGCCGGCAGCAACAATCTCGTTTTTGAATCTCGAACCCCGTTCCAAATTTGGAAGCTCTCTCGCGTGCAGTGCGCTGCGTTGTCTCCGCGTTTGACTAATGGGCCCCGAATTCCGAAAATTCCTCCTTACACTACTTGGTCGTGTTTTGTACGCCGCTGCTCTCCTCGTTAATAATTCCATCCAGATTGCGTTGTGTGGTACAGCAGGGCGGACCTGCTGTTGGGCTCCAAGGGCATCAACAGACAGATCCAGCCAGCCTTATACACACACACACACACACACACACACACACGCGGCGGCGGCGGTGCCCGCCACATATATATGCATGCACACATAATACCTTGGGAGTCATGATGGCTTCTGCCCACTGTTGTTATAATATTGTGTGTGTGAGTTGGACCACCGTAATCGACAAACCATTATCTCTTATTCTCTCTCACACAAGTCAAAACCCCGCTCTTGGTTAATAAATATTCAGGCCGCATGAGTCAAAATAATTATACACGGCCGGTCTCGATTAATATTGTCAGCCCATCGATGGATTATTAGGCGGTGCTCACTAGCTCGCTCCGACTTAGGCGCACACATGATGGCTAAATTATTCCTCGGTAATCGGAGAGCTCAAACGAATTCCCCAAAGGTCGTTACAGGCTTGAAAATTGCGAGGGTTGAAGGACAGTCACGCTTGGAATCTTCATTCCGGTGTAAAATTTGCATAATTTTTAAACTTAAAAAAAAAAAAACAATGCGAAACAGTCTAGATTGAAAATCAAAATCTTAAATATTTGACTTGTTGTTAAACATTTTGATTGAAGTAGATTTCAGAAGACTTTTCCTGTTGATATCCCCCCTGTAGATTTAATTTTTATTATTAAATTATAGAGTAATTTCCATTTTAAGACCCACTTAATCTCGTTATTGGCTAATTTTTATTACGAGTGTAAAGACCTCGTTGAAATTTCACTTTTCCAAGAGTCCTGGCAATTCTCTCTCTTGTCTCTTACTTTATGATGAGCACCGTTCCTGTAACGCTCGTTCGGTACCCCTTTTGACATTGAACCTCATTCTTATTCATACGTTTATGCCGATGCGCCATAAAAAAGGCGCATGCACGATAATTTATGTGCGCCGACCGAGCCAAGGGCCGAACTGTATAGCGCGGGGCTAAACGTATTATAAAATAATATACGATTCGGTGTGTAGAGCGCGAGTGCACCGGGCAATATAATAATGATCAGACATGCAATCGGCGGCGGCGGCGGCAGAGAGCGAGCGGGTGCATGTGAAACACACTCGCGCTCCTCGCACACCGAATACAAACTCTCAAATATATACGTCGTCGTGTGCGAGCAATACAAGAGGATGAGGAAGCCGCACGAGTGCTTTTTCATGAAACACAAACCACCCTTCGAGAGCTGCGCCCGCCGCGAATGCAAGGAAAACCAAGGAGGAGCGTGCCGATGAAAAATAATCAACCGTCTGCCCAATTTGTGCTGCAGATATACAGGGACTCATTGCAATTGCGTCACCCTTGGCTATGGAACGTGAGAGCGTTCTCGGGTCGGTCTTCGCATCTAATACCTATGGCCGCCCGCCGATGACTATAAGCCATGTACTAGACTGACTAGGGACAATGGGATTATTGCTGTGTTGTATTTGTTTCTCGTTCAAGAGACCGACCTCCCATAGTATAAATCCCTTTTTAGATTACAAAGACTTTATTATTTTAAAAGAAAATACTGTTTTGTTATCAAGTAAATATTTTAATTTATAATATTTTTGTACAATTTAATTTTAAAATCAAACGTGGATATAAAAAAATGGTGAAACTGAGGTTGCCAAGAAATTTATTCCGCAGTTTGAATTTTTATGAAATTTAAATTCCAAAACCGGCTTAATTTAATTTGGAATTTTGTCGCAATAAATTTTCCGCGGCGCATACTAAACTTCCTCCTCTGTCCCCATCAGGGTCGCGCGGTTCATTAGCAGCAGTTCAGAATGCACCAAGCATTCGAAAAATTCCTTTCCCTGCGTGCAATTTCGCTGCGCCTGCACATTATTTAAAAAGCCGGTGTCGCTTCTCGATCGCAGTCTTTTGGTGTCGCAATGGCAAAAGAGCAATACGCTTACTTAAAAAATAAGTACGCGCCGTGTATTGTAATAATTGGCGAGTGCCACGGTCGGGTCAGGGGTCAGCCTTAGGCTGTTTACCTTTACGGATTAAGCGCGCGGCCGGCTGTTGAGAGAGACGAATTAGTCACTCGTCGGCACAAGTTTTTCTTTTGTTAACGCACGCTTGCGTGTGCGTTAATTTTGTTGATTTTAATACCTCGAAAGCCGCGGTGAATATAATCCGAGTATAGGGTGGCGAGTGAGCTTTCGGAGAGGAAGAAAAAGCAGGAGGCCTCTCGCCGGAATATCTAATTATCCCGGCGGCAGGAATGTTAACCATCCACCCACTTAATTATCGGATCGGCCAGGCCGACAAGCCTTTTTTAATTACCGCCAGAGCTGCAGCCGCGGCGCGCGCTGGAATTTTCTCGGGAAATTGAAAATGTAATATTACACTTCATTGAGCGGAGAGGAGCGGTGCAAAGGAAAGGGAGCCGACCAGAAAACCCTATCAGTGCAGTTGCACACCCCCATCACCAAGTCGTAAATTTTAAAACAAACACCGGAGATAAGTGCTATTCAGACAAATTTAAAAGTACTCAGGGATATAAAATTCGTACAAAAATCGTACAAAAATTAAAATAAATAAAATTTAAAAACTAAATTTTAATAAATCAGCAATTTTATAATCAGTTTAAATTGCGTCAGCTGTTTCGATCAGGGTCAAGGACAGAAGAAGAAATCCGCCCCCGAGAGTTCCAACCCAATGTGGGCCGCGCTTCCTCGTTAGACATCGCGCCAGACGGACACCTTGGGGCGCGTGTTGGAATGATTTTGGCACGCAGTGCCAAAGCGTGTGAGACAGAGAGAAAGAGAGATGAGAACGGTGTGTTTCTGATCTTGGCGTAAGAAGGTGCGAGCGCCGAAACGCGAATCCGCCGGGCTCAGACAAAACACCCCCGCAAAAAGGTGCAAAAATCACAAAAATTGAGGTTAAAAAAATTAATAATATTAATTTTATTATCAATTCTCTTTGCTTACTTTACATATTGAGTAAAATAATTTTTAAATTAGAATTTTTGTCTCATTTTGATATTTTAAATTGCACTGCGGCAGTAAACTTGGTACATAAATTTTTAATTGTGGCGCTGAATTGAATTGGGGAACACGTTCGCTGGCACCCCAGAAGGGGCCACCTCGCCGAAAAGTGTGCACTTTCGTGGCAGCTAATGAATTTTTAAATTGATTGCGGCAGAGAGTGCCGGACGGACGGCAGGCCGGTCTGACTGTCGGTCGGTCGGTCGCAGGAGGAATATATAAAGAAAAGAGAGGCAGAGAACAAGAATAAGGGGCTTAACCATGTATGGTGGCGTTACGTCACACAAATGAATGTGTACGCGAGCCTCCACATATACACAAAGAAGAAGAAGAAGAAGTTGGTCTCGGGCTCTGTGTGTGTGTGTGAGTTAAAAAGTGAACTAACCGAGAGAAGTGTATAGAGTCGGTCCTGCTGCCTACGCATCTCTCGACGACCGGCTCTCTCGCGCAGGGGCTCCGATCGCGGGAATATACATAATAAAATATATAACCAAACAACACAAGCAAGCGTCCTCCTATTCGCTCTGTTCATAATTCAATCGGCCAGATTGCAGAACAACATTCCAGCCGCGTGTGTGCGGCGCAAAGCATTATTTGGACCACTTGCGGCGCGAAATTCCAGCACCGGGGGATCCGCCGATCGCGCGCGCCGCCCCGCACCAAATTACTTACGTTAGGCGGCGAAACGTGCCTCTTGCTTTTATATTCGATCTGTCGCCAAATTAATGGGCTGGAATGTGGTGAGAAGTTTATGGCTCGCCGTTTAAATTGATGCTTTTTACGACGCCTCCAGTGGAATATAAGAGAATTATTACAGATTAAGAGGAGAGACTGTGGGAAAATTGTTTGTTTGTACTTGGACGCAATTTGTACAAAATTTCTGCAAATTCAAAAATTTATAAAGTTGAGTGATAGTAAAACATTTGCATTTTGAAAGGAAATAAAAGATAACGGAGAATTACTGAATTATTAAAATTTAAAACAGCAACAACGGAAATAAAAAAAACGTTTTTTTTAAATGAGACATTATTAATTATAAATATGCAGAAATGTTCCATTTATTTCCATTAATTTTTAAAATTGTTCCTATATAAAAATAAAATAACAATTTTAAAAAATTTTTAGAATTTAATTCAGCTTCTACTTATCTTTTTAATTTAAATTTTCCCCCAATCTGAGTTTCTGAATTAATATAGACATCCTCTCCCAATCTTGGGCCTCTTTGTAATAATAATAATGATTCGCCAAGTGGCGCGTGTCTCTCTCTTTCTCCAAAATATGCATATGTCTTTGGAAGTTGCTTTTTCCGCTGCCGGGACGACATGTGTGCATCATGGGAATCACCTGCTCGCGCGAAATTTAGCATGGTGCCTTTGAATCAAAACACGCGCGCGCGGCTGCAATTAGTCCATCAAGCGGGCCCATTTCGCCTACATTGTAGTGCGTCGGCTCTCTCGGAGGAGCGCGCGAGAGTGAATGAATTTGGCAGATGCTGACACGTGGCTCGGCCGCCGGCCAAGAACCGCCGATATTTCTCTCGCAGATTGTTATACTTACTTTGTTTGAGAAAGAAGAGAAGAAATTTTGCAAAGAAAATCATTAATTAGGTACTCACCGGCCACCCCGAAGAGAAAAGGCGCGACTAGAACAAACGTTGTGGTCAGTAGAGGGATAATTCGCATCCTGTGCGCTGATGTTGTTCTTGATATCGATGAAGAAGAAGAAGAAGAAGAGGATGAACTACTACACGACGATGAAGTAACAGAAGAACAAGAAGATGAAGAATTACTACTCGAAGAAATTTCGGCCTCTGGGCAGGGCCGTCGCTCCACCGGGTTATGCAACCCGTCAGTCCCATTTAAACACCTCCAGCGTCTTCGTCCTGCAACACAAATTTGAGAAAACATTGTTAAAACAAGAATTATTATTCTTTGGTTGAAACAAAAAAGAAATAAATCGGAAAGGCCGTCTGCTGCCCTTTCTTTTATACACACACACATATATTCAGACGGGCTATGAAAACACGCCTGGTATCCGGAAATGACACCGCGCGTCTGCACCACCGCCGACGGTAGCAGAGCAACCTACGGTGTAATGAAAGGGAAATAAAAACAGCACCTCGCCGGGGAGTGAAAAAAAGAGACTCTAACCAGGAATTCCAGCTGATTAAGGATGTGTTAGAACTGTTAAACAAGACTCACATTTGTTTTTATCTTGAATACATTTTGATGAAAAATTTTAAATTATTTGGGGAGCTAATTTTTGTTTCTTTTAAAACCTTCACTTTCATCGGCTTATTTCTGGTATCATGCGTTATTTTAAAATTTCGCCGTTTTTGCGTGAGTCAATTTTCCAGCCCGATTGGATTCGCGAGCCCTTCAAGGCTGTCTTGCCTGTTTTTGCTTTGGATTCATCAATATGTACGAGAGGCATCGCTCACTCCTTTTCTTTTGCAGCGGCAGCCGCGGATCAGGAATGCCACCGCGCGGGCCCTGCAAGTGTGCGCGCTCCGCCAGGTGTTCCGCTGTACCTTTTTAACTGGTTCACTTTCCGTTTTATTATGCACATATCGTCTGTATGGATGCTCGAAATATAAATAAATATCAACGAGAGACACACGATTATGGTCACGGACCCGTTTATCGCGCCCTTTCTGCGGAATTTCCATTACAAAACTTTCATGCTCGCTCGTCAAACAAAAAAGTCAATCGATCGGGGCGCGTGGTCTGCCTAAATAAAATTATCCACACGCATTTTTCGTGCAGATATCCAAGGCAGCGCAGGGCCAATTATAAAGCGCGAGTTGGAGCGAGCAGGAGAACTCGTGTACCGAGGGCGAGCTTAAAAATAAAAGAAGGTTTGAATATTGTCTTTCGTCGCCGCGGTCTATTGTTTTTAAGCGGGTAGTAGGCGCAGTAGCGCATATAATAGCCGCGCGCACCATCCGACCGTTTGCCGCTCCAAAAAAGGCCTCTCGCCACGGGAAAATGTATAAAAATGACTGCCACAGTGAATGAGCAATCGCACTTCATCTTGTCTGCACTCTCGTCAAAAGTTGTGTACTTGAGAATTTTAAATTCGCAACGAGAGAGAGAAAGAAAGAAAGAGCGGAGGCGCCGCCTTAAAATGACGCCTTATGCACTCAAGCGGAAATCCCAAAGCAACTGCCAAATTTAATTTAATTAAAAAAAAATTGAATTTAATGTGAAATAATGGATTTATTAAGTTTTTCTTCATATTTTTAGAAACCATATACTTGTTTATAATAGAGAATATATGCAAAATATATAATAAAACAATTTATTAGTTTGATGTTTCTGATGCGATCAAATTAAAAAAAGGGAAGTTTTCTTCACAATGTTTTAATTTTAAATAAATTATAAGACTTCATTTTAGTTTGTATTTCAGACACTTCTGGCCCAGCAGAAACAGTTTTAGTTTTAGAGGCTAGATAATAATTTCCATCTTCTTGTTTTTTTCCATTTCAGCAAAAAATCTCGGTCAAATTCGAGCAATTGGGAATTCAAGGTGAGCCAGGGCAAAAAGTCGGCCGCAAGAATTTGCGACTTTGAAATTGCCTCTCATCGAGCTAGCCTCTTATTTACAGCCTCCGTCAAGTTTGCATGTCAAAATTCGGGGAATTTTTATTATATCAAAGTGAAAAAGGAAATCGGCTGCTTCGTTTGATTTATTTATTTTCGGTGGAGGTTTTATTTTTTATTTTTTGCTGGCGTGGCTCTTTTCAGCGCAGGATTGTGAGTCCAGAGCCGAGAATGGATTGAGGTCGGCTATATGCATTGGAGCATTACTTAGAGCGAGTGCTACTAATCAAGGAAGAAACAGCGGCTCTCGGCAGCAACACCGCGCCGCTCCGCCACTATAAATACATAATAATCAGTCATGCGAAACCGGCATCTCGGCAGAAAGAAGAAGAAGAACCTCACACATCGGCCGTGCGCATCCGTCCGTCCGTCCGACACGTCGGTAAACAATTTAATACACCATCAACGCGGAGCCTGAGCTGCTGGTGTTGAGAGTATAAAAAAAATGAGATACTTATCGGGGGAAACGCGTCGCAGTGTAATTATTATACGCACTCGATCATGCACGGAGAGAGAGATTAGCGCGCCGAGAGTTGACACAAAGTGCCACCAGAGTTATCTATTTGTATATATAAATTTTCTCCTTTGTACTGTTATTATTATATGTAATTCTAACGTGTGCTGCTTGTGTGTTCATGTTAGGCCGCGAGAAGCCTTTTATGAGGGGCGCATGCATGCAAGTGCAAAAGGCGTCGTCGCACTTGTCCAAGCCACTTACACACGACGGGTCTAACTGAAGACTTGGGCAATGCAATTAGAACTCGGCGTAAAATAAGTGGATTTTTTTAAATCTATTTATTTCTTTATGGCATTTCGTATACATTTAAACCAATTTAAAAATGAAATAAACAATCAAATAGAAAAATAATTAATTTAACAGATCGTCAGTTGAATATGTTTGAAATTAATTTCTAGAAAATATTTTAATTTTATCTACGGAAAATTGCAATCAGTGAATTCATTTTTAAATAGATGAGATCTGAATTAAAATAAGTTTCAAAAAGCTTTTTAACAAAATGAAATCAAATAAATTTTTGAACTATCTTTGCAACAATTCAAGGCAGTCTTTACAACAATGGTAGTAAATTTTTGTGATTGTTGGAGAAGGTAAATTTTTAAAATTTTAATCACCATTGTTACTTGATATGCCAATAATGAGTCATTAAATTTTAATGTGCAGCAAAAAGAATAAGAAGCAGTTGAAAAATTATCCAAAATAATTTTAATTAAATTGCGTTTTCACTTCATGCATTTAGGCTTTGATTAAAAGAGGATTAAATTTCGGAAGCAAAAAATTAAATATTGTCTGAAAAATTTCGGCTAATAACCTTTGCACGTGCTGTCAGAGAACCGGCCTCTCTTTCTTTGTCTGTCAAAATCAGCTGATCGCGACTAGCCGGCCGGCCGATTTGGTTTACACAGGCTCGAGCCGGCTGGCTTCTCTTAATTGCCAGTGTGGCGGCCGTTCGCGAAAATAGCGAGACCAAAGGCGAAAGAAAACGCCGGCTTAAAAATAGGCGGCCAGAATTCTGCGTGTTTACATAGGTAAGTCGACGCGACGGCACCTTGGCCACTATCAAATCGGCAATAATAGCCAGAGGGACACGTGTGTGTGCGGCTAAGAAAATTATAAAACACCAACTCACCCATTCTGTCCGTAATTATATGTGCACTGCCGCTATTTGCAGATCATTCAAAAGTCAGCCGGAGAGCAGATAAGGCAGCGCGAGGAAGACAAAAACCGGAACTGCACCGGCACTCGGCCGCGACTATTTATCTGCTCGGCTAATGAGTGACGCAACCGCCTCCCGCTTGGCACTCTGGCGACAAATACGTCACCCACCGGCAGGGAATAAGATGCGGAATTCAACGGAATCGAAAAGTGTTTTCCCACGGCTCATCGTTTTTATCGCCAGAAATAATACGACCGCAAGAAGTGAAAATTTTCAATTTACTGAGAGGGTATGCACCCTTTTTTCCGAGAGGTCGAATACACGTTCAAGGAATACGAATGAGCTTGGGCAGCTTATTGATTCAAGGGTTTGCGGCCGAAGATGCGGGGTGATTTATTTTGCATGCGGCGGCAGAAAAACGGGGTCAGCGAGCGCAAATAATACAAGAGCAGAACTCAAGGTGCATGTGAATTTTGATGACATGCAATATTGCGGCGAGCATTACATGAAACCTATGTGTATACCTTGTGGGTTTTTTTTAAAGGTGAGTGTGCAGCGAGCGGCCTGCCGACCCTTGTTACATGCGAATCGTATAAGGGTGTAATTGAAGGATGCAGAGAGGCGCACGAAGAGAGAATGAAAGAATTAAACGTTGTAGGACAAATTTAAGAAAATAGTGAATATCATTTAGATTGAGTTTAAAAATTTGCACAAAAACATATTTTGTAGCAATTTTTTTTAAAGAAGTACTCACATTGTTGGTCAGTTTTTGGTGAATATTTTGCAAACTTTTCACACCGATTGCCAGAGTAAATCTGCCGCTATATTGATCAATTTTATGGCCATTGAGCAAACCGGATGAATGAACCGTCGATTCTATGCGCTGCATTGAAACTTTGACATTTTATATTTCGAAATAATTAAAGTTGCCGCTCATCCGGTTGGCTCAACAGCCATAAAAATTGGGCAATTTCCAACAGAGGTTCAACGACCGCAATTTTCCGATAGGAAATTTCGCTCTCATTGTATATTATTTATTGACATCATATAATTTGTATTCATTTAAAATGCCAAAGTTGAACGCGGTCTTGGCGCCTCTCTTCACATAGCTCTCTTTGTTAGAGTAGCCCCGTGCAAAAGATGAAGCAGGCCTGATTGGCCGCTACTAGGCCACCGCGCCAGAGATGCCTTTATTTCTATTTGCCCGTGCAGGCCGCATGCACGTGGAATGTACTATGCATATCAGCTAGATGCATTATTTGTCAAAGGTATATGCGTGCGTGCCGGGTGCCATTCATGAGTCGGGGCGTGCGATCGTGAAAAATCGCCGGGGTGCATTAACCCTCTATTATTTATTTATGGTGCAGGCGAGCGCAGTAATGCACTCACTCACGACCGTGTTTGATCCACTGATTAGATTAAAAAAAGCTAAATTAATGGAAAGCATTACAAATATGGACCTTGGCTGTAAATGGCTCGTTTTGATTATTTTAGGGGTGGGAAAGAGTATAAATTACAAATGTTACAAATTTTAAATGAAAGAAGCATTTTTGTTTGTTTTTAATTTACAGGAGAGACAAAAATTATAAAATTTGAATTTTGTAAGT